CCCCAAAACCCCAAAACCCCTGCGTTCAATTATCAATTGCAATTAATCAATAAATTAATTCTTATATCAACTTTTCTCAAATAAACTCTTATAAAATATCAACAATATAATATATACCTGCAAATTAATTTTATGACAAATTGCTTCAAACAATCAGATTTTAAGGCCGAAAGTGATCATGAAAAAGGGTACTTGGAGAAGTAGAATGATGTTTCATAGTGCAGCTAGGTTGAGTAGGATTAGATTTAACTAGGACTTGACAAACTTATAAATAAACTATATTCTTCTTTTGAGTCGGAATCGCTCTCTTTGAAATTTAAGGATTAAGATCTAGAGAATGAATTTTAGAAGCAGATACATTAGTAGGTTAAAAAGTACGGCTTAGTATTCATTATTGAACAACTATTTTTAAAGACATATCAATTAGCATTTTTCCCTTGGGGGAAACTTGATTCACTAAAAACTGGCACTTTGATTTGCTTTTGGGGATTTAATTTATTAATCTTAGTATGCTAAGTCACTATGTATGGCTTAAGTTGCAAATATAAAAAATTTGCTCTTTAATTTTCTCATATTTAGACTTTGATTCTAAATATAAGTTTATACGAATCGATTTCAATGTTTTCCGATGATGGCTTAGTATTTTACGAGAGCACTATATTTATAATGGGACTTAAGGCTACAGTGTCCTATATAAGTTATTGTAAAAGGATCCAACTAATAGTCTATCTCATCAATTTGATATATATAACACTCAGAGCTTGGTTTTATTTTTCAACTACTCGTAATTTTTTGAGAGCCATATTTTCAATGATACTAATGTATTCAATCATTTATCTCTTCTCAAGAGACACAATGAAGAAAGATAGAAGAATCTTTAAATAGAAAAATAATCAGATTTAATTGCTGAAAATATTTCATAGTATTATAAAGTCTAATCATGATGGTATTGCTATAACTTCAGATGACCAGATTCTCTTTCATAATAAATAAATGAGTAAAATATTTTAGCCTTCAACTAACTTAGAGAATAATGATTTTTGCAATTAAAAAGAATTTGATCACGAAACTCTTTAATAGATGCTAAAACAAACGAAAATAAAAAAGCATTAGAATGATGGGCTGACATTGCAACCTAATCTTGATCTCTTCGCAGGGTGCCTGAATATTTGGGACTATATTCAGTTCTAACTTTTTCTAAAAAATTAGAATAGAAACTTAGCTATCCAAGACATACCAATGAGAGCATCTGATAGCCTCTATTTTAAGTTTATGCAGGAAAAAAACCCAAAAAAGAAGAGACTTTAGGTGTTCTCAAATCTGATTGAGAACGGAAAAAACTACATGGTAGTTACTACTATTAGAGACATATCAGAATGGCTGGAGTTGGTGAAAGAAAAAAATTTGACTTTAGCTAAAACTCAAGCTTTTGCATCAGCTGCTCATGAGTTTAGGAATCCTCTTAGTGCAATCGTGAATTCTCTTGATCTCCTTAAGGACTACATAGACCATGAATAAGCATCTAAGTATTACATGACTGCTAAGAATTGTTCGAATCTTATGCTATACCTCGTGAATGATATTTTAGACTATAGTCAACTGGAATCATAGAAACTCCTCCTAAACATTGAAGATACTGACATTAAACAGTTAATAGAGGAATGTATTACAGTGCTGAGATTTAGATCAGATCATAAAAACATAGAGCTTAACTATGAAATAGATGGAACATTTCCAGAGTCATTTTTGTCAGACCAAAATAGAGTGCGACAAATACTGATTAATCTGATATCAAATGCTATAAAATATACCAATGAAGGTTACATCAAGGTGCACTGCTACATGGACCTAGATGATGGGATGCTTAATATCGAGGTTGAGGATTCTGGAGTCGGAATAGATGAAGATGAAATAAAGCTCCTTTTCAATGCTTATGTGAAAAATACTAAAAATAGAAGTTTAAACAAAGAGGGATGTGGGCTAGGCTTAACAATAAGTAAAAACTTAGCTAAGGCTCTTGGGGGTGATATAAAAGTCAGATCTCAGGTAGATCAGGGATCTGTATTCACTTTGGTCCTGCCCTTTAACTATTAGAGATGGGATATTAATATCATAAGAAGACAATCAAACAAATTGCAAAGATTTCTTTTATCTACTTCAAGCAACAAATCTAATAGGTATGCATACCCCCCAAGCAATCGAGGTAATTCGCAAACATCTTTGCATGTTCCTCAGAATCACAATAGAAGAATTAATTCCTTATCTTAAGTGTCTAACAAGTATCAAAGAGTAGATTTTGAAACTCCAAAGAGTCAATTTTTTAGAATTTAAAATCTAAATTCTCAGACTGACTGTGATGTAACCTCCTAAAAAGATGATTTAACTTAAGTACATTAAACAGATCAATATTAGATATAAGGTAGAAAAAGTTTATTTGAGAAAAAATAATAAAATTAGGAATCACCCCATCGTCATAAGAATAAAAGTTAGTACAGTTGCTTCCGAGAAATTCCTCATCATAAGAAAAGACAGAATAAATACAGCATTAATATTATTAATGATCATTCAATGCTTGACTCTTCAAGAGACATGCTTGTAAATTCACCAAAAATTTAAGAAAGAACATTCGTGAATAGAAACTCAAAGATTTTTAACAATTAAAACAGATAAATTGTGATTAATCATGAATCTATAGAGATAGAGGATACCAACTTTGCTTCTATCTAAATAAAAACTTGCTCTTGCCCTAAAATTTTGATAGCTGATGATGATCCATTTAATATTATTGGTGTTGAGGGAATGATTCAGTCAAAGATCAAAGATGCAAATATTGAGAAGGTATTCAACGGAAGAGATGCTCTTGATAAAATAGCTAAACGCTTTAAATAATTAAATATTAATAGTCAAAGGAATTCAAGTAGAAATTTAAATAATCTTAATGATGGAGCATGCCTCAATCACGAGCCATATAAGTTACTGCTATTTGATAATCAAATGCCGTTGATGTCTGGGATCTAAGTTGCTTAAGAATTGAGGTAAAAATATTCAGACTATTTTATTAAATATGGTATCAAGCTTGTCATGATATCAGGAGATAATTACTACTCAAGTGATGATGAATTCAAGCAGCTATTTGATTACATTGTTACTAAACCAATAACTATGGTTAGTTTGACAAATATTTTGAGATCTTCGCAGTTGTTATGAGTATGAAAAAATAATTACCGTTTTTATAAATGTTTAAATATATTTAATTTCTCTTTTATTTTCTATGCATAATTTTGCATCATGGGGTTTTGGGGTTTTGGGGTTTTGGGG